CCGAGGCTGGGCTGTGGGGCGAGGCCATGGGTGAGCTGGGGCACGGGGCGAGGCCGGGCACGGGGTGGCTCTCGGGGCTGCTGCCCCAGGAGCCAAGTCCCTTTGCATCGCCCTGGGGGGTCCCTCCACCCGTGCAGGGGTGGGAGCTGCCAGCAGCCCCGTGTTCCCCCCGCCGTGCTGTCCCTGGGGGACCTGCCCCAGCGTCCCTGGGGGTTCCCGCTGACCGTGGGGTAGGCAGGGGCTCTGTGGGGCAGGCAGGGGCTGTTGCAGAGGGCACGAGCCTGGGGCGGCGGGGCCGAGCGGCGCAGGGTGCCCCTGCCGGGTGCCAGCCCGGCGGGCAGGGGCCAGAGGCTGGGTGACGGTGGCACGTCTCCGCAGGAGGAGGTGAAGGTGAAGATGAAGGAGCTGAACGAGCACATCGTGTGCTGCCTGTGCGCCGGGTACTTCATCGACGCCACCACCATCACCGAGTGCCTGCACACGTGTGAGTCCCCACGCGGTGGCGGCAGCTGCCTGCCCGGCTCCGGCGGCGCGGGGTCCCGTGGGGTCCCCCCGGGCGGGGGCCAGCGGAGCCTCCCCTGCCCGCTGGTGGGTCCAGCGCTGCCCTGGGGCCGTGGCTCCTGCCTGGGGGGCCAAGGGGGACGTGTGTCCGCTGCTCAACGCTGGGTGTCGGGGGTGTCAAACCCCCCCCCCCCCCCACGCCCCGCCCCTCCGTCCTTCTGGCCACAGTCTGCAAGAGCTCCATCGTCAAGTACCTGCAGACCAGCAAGTACTGCCCCATGTGCAACACCAAGATCCACGAGACGCAGCCGCTGCTCAACCTCAAGCTGGACCGCGTCATGCAGGACATCGTCTACAAGCTGGTGCCCGGCCTGCAGGAGAGTGAGTGGCTCCGGCGGGGGGGGGGGGGGGGGGGGGCAGGATCTGGTGTCCCTGGCACCGGCGTCTTGTAGAGCGATGTGGGGAGGAGCTGTGAGGAGAAGGGCACAGGGAAGAACGGGACGCTTTCAGGGGGCCACCTCCCTACTGGGTGTGGGAGACTCTGTCTGTGGGTTAGGGTCTTCAAAATGCTGCTGACCATGTCCGTGGCGGCTGCTAGGGCTTCTCGGATGGGAAGAGAGGGCGGGGGGGGGCATCTTACCGTGTAAAACCAGTTACGGAGCGAGGGGTAAGGCAGGACAAACAGCCCTCACTCGCGGAGGCGGGTGTCAGAGGGCTGCGGGGACCGTGCCCGGGAAGTATGTGGGGCCGCTCGGGGACGGGGAGTAGAGCGAGGCGGGGGCTCGGCGATGGCACCGCGCGGTCTGGGAGGTTCAGATACTGGGACCCACAGGAGGCTCTGGCTGCGCCTTCCCCTGGGCTGTGCCAGCGGGTGGAGTGGGTGCGGCTGCCCAGGTCTGGGCCACTGGGCTCAGGGGCTGGGTGGGGAATGGAGCAGGGCGGTGGGCGCTTCGTCGGGGTGCGTTTAACCGGCTCAGCTGCCTGCTTTCGGCGCTCGGGCTCCGGCAGCCGGCCGTGCTCGGCACAGCGGGGCTGGGCTGTGGGGACAGGAGCTGCGTGAGCCGGGGCTGCCTCCGTGAGCAGCGTCCCTGGGGCCGGGAGCTGAGTGACGGCGTGATGAACCGACGGTTGGTGGTGGTGAATGCAAAGCAGCGTGCAGGGAGGGCAGCCCCCGCGCCGCAGACGCAGCGGTGGGCTCAAGATTAGCCACCGTCACTCAGGACGGGGATGGGGGCACCTCTGTGGAAGTGTCAGCCTGCCGCGCGGCAGCGGGGCGCTGGGCACTGCCATGGGGGGATGGAGGCCTCGGCTGGATGGGGGGGTCACAGCAAACACGCAGCATGGGCCCTGGTCTCCCACCCCACAGTGGAGAGGGGAAAAAGTGGGGAAAGGCGTGAGGGACGATGAGAGCAGGGACGTGTCTGCGTGGGCAGGGACGGGGACAGGGACAGGACCCCCCCCGGCCTGCGGCGGGGGCTTGGTGGAGACCCCCGGGGGCACAGAGAAGGTGAACGGGGAAGGGGAGGGTCTGGGTTTCTGGTGGCACGAGAGCTGCTGGTGGTCAGCTGCATTGCCAAGCCGAGGTCGGA